TAAATTTATATTATATTATTATATATGCTTGAATTTTCTTATTAATTTCTCTAGCATGTTTAACTTTTCTGATAGTATTCTATATCCATAATTTATAATAGTATAATATATACTTGTTATCATAATTATATTCTGAAATAGATTTTTATTTAATTTTTAGCAAATATTTATCATAACTTATATTATAGAAGATATTTTTTGTATAATAGATAGTCTAATATCTCTTCATTCTCATATAATTATAATTATTTATATTTTTGATTTGTTTTCCAGTATATATTAATTAATTACAAGAGAAGCAAATAGTAATATTAATTTTAGATACATAATTTTTATAAAATCTATTAATTTTAGATCAATATATTATTAATTTTCTAGTTTTAAGATATTTTTTACTTTCAGTAGATAATAAATCATTTTTTCTAAAATATTATAAGTGAAATCAAATTTGATCTATCTATTTACTAGAAGTTTTATTAGTATAAACTTGAAATATCTTTATATATTATTCTATTTAGTATCAATATAATTAATTTCATATTTTTCACTTAAGCTAGTTATTTATATGATCTAATTATAATATATTTTATAGATTATGAGATTTATATTATATTTAGAAATTAGACCTATTAGATTTGGTTCTTTATAGTATAAGAATATATAATTTATTTTTAGTACAGATACTTGAAGAGCATCCTATAGGATCTGGATTATTAGATGAATTATGTATATTTATTATATTTTATGAGTGATATATATGATAAGACTAATCAAAATTTTGATTTATTTACATATGATTAGATAGATTAACTACTAGATAATGGAGAACTAATAATAATTAATGAATTAATAGGTATTAGTTATTTTGGTACCATATATTTTATATAAATATATGATTAAATAGTGATAAAGCTTACAAAAAATCAGATTATTTAATTAATGCATATAATTCATATAATATTGTATATAATTATAAAATAATAGAATTATAACTTTATTAATATATAAATTTATTTGTGATATTAATATTACTGGCACAGTAACATGATGTAATAATAATCATATTCTATTTTTTTCTTTTAAAACTTTAATTATTATATAATCAATATTTTCTTGACTTAAGTTTAAAATATTTGATGCTGAAAATAATCTAATATCTCTTATTTTCTCTTTACTAATACTAATAAATAAATCATATATTTTTTCTGCTTGCTCCTTTCTTTTTTTTAATGTATCATTGGTAATATTATCAAAAAGTTATTTCTAGATTTCATCATTAATAAGAATCAAGCAAGCTCAATCTCTATATTTCAGATTCTTATAATAATTAAAATATCTTTTCATAACTTCACCAAAATTAAAATAACTTTCAATAACTTTTCTATTTGCTATCTTACTTTTAGATTCAGTCTGCATAATTTTGCTATAATGATACAAAAAATTATTAGTATTTTTATTGACTTCTATTACTTTTTCAGAATTTTCAGATATCATTAATATCAATTTCTCAATAAGTTTTTTTAATATAGGAGAATCTTTCTTTGATACTTGTTTCTTTGCTTTCTTACTGGATAATTTATTAATAGATTCATTTTCTAGAACATATAAAATATTATAAAATCTGAAAATATAATTATTAAATCAGTAATATATAAACTAGTAATTGGAGCTGCAACTAGTTACAACTTATCATAATTCTCTGATTAATTATTACAACTCTATCATAATTCTCTGATTGGCTATCACAAGTTACAACTAGTTGAGGAGCTATCTTTAATATAGACTTTTAGGTATGCTTTTAATCATAGTTTTTATCTCCTTCTTGCAATCAGATCTTGGACATATTGAATATTTTTTGATAGAATTTTTGATATAATCATAATGATATATATAATTGCAAATAAGTATAATAATTAGATTTTTTATTTCATACAAAAAAAAGTTCTTGATTATATAACAAGCATAGAACATTCACATTTGCAATCTTTTTTAAGAATGAATTTTTTAGAATATTTAATGCAAGAATTTTAAGAATTAAGATATTAACAGACATAGTGAAGTATGAGATCTGCCTATTAATAGGATTTGCTCATTAAATTATATACAAGATCTTGAAATTGTATATCTTGAACCTGGTAATCTAAAATAAAAATTAGATTAACATATAAAAAAATTGAAAAAATATATTTAATATTAGTAGAACAAGATCAAAATAACTAATCAATTTTCTTATTTAGTATAGCATTGCTAGTAATCTTAATATACACAGATTGAATAGTTTAATTTTATGTAGTTACTATATGACTACCTTTGGCAAGTTTTATCAGTACTTAAGTTATAATAATAATCTTCATCAGATATATTAGTATTCTTACTTAGTATTTCAAGTTGATAACAAAATATTAGTGCAATTGAGTTGTAATTTTTTACTTTGGCTAGCTAACTCAAGTTAATAATCACATGAATTTCCTTATTTAGATATTTTATTTATATTACAGAGTTAATATATATTAATATTACATACATATATTATCATTATCTAATATATATATTAATATTAGTTCTTTTCTTGCAATAATTCTGGAAATACATTTATGAAAGCTGAATTTTCCTTAAGAAAAAGAATATCATATATGTTTATAAGATCAAGCTAATTTCTTTTATTTGTTAATATATTACTAATATCACTAAAAAGATGCTTAGCAGGAACTAAAGAAGCTAGAATTGCAAGATAAATTCTTGCTTGTTTGACAAGTAATGATAATGTTGTCTTGTGATCATTCTATCACTTATATGAATTATTTGTTACATATAATAGATAAGATACTTCATATTTTGATAATGCTGGCATATTCTAATAAATATAAAATTCTGATTTAATAGGTATTTCAGTAGTAATCATCATAATATTAAAATCATCATAAATAATAATATAAGAGATTGATTTTGCAAATAAGAAATCTGAGCTGAATTATCAGAGAATTCAAAAATAGTTGATATACTTTCTATAATATTTTTCTTTAGTTTTTCAATAATTTGTTGAATTTTTTCTTCTAATATAAATGCTAGATTTTTAAATTTCAGATCCAAAAATGATGTAATATAACCAAGAATATTTGAATTCTCTCATCTTCTTGTTAATGATTCACAAATTTTTTCTAAAATTATATGAATAACTGGATAGATAAGTATTGAATTTATTATATCTAAGTGATGAAAAAGTTTGTGAAAAGTGGAAAATATTTGTAAGAGTATTGAATATTGATTTCCATCTAAGAGTGTAGTTGTGATAGCAATAGTTTCAGTAAAATTACTAATTCATTCAAACATTTTCACTCATTATCTAATAATAATAAGTTTTTTAAAATATTAGTATCTGCTTGCACTTGATGATTGAAATTATATGAAAGTTGTAATTGATATTTATAAATTGCTTGATGAAGTAATAAAAGTCATTCTAATAGAACCAATATTGAGTTCTATTGGATTTTACTATCACTACTAATAGAATCAAGAGATTTGTATTGTGAAATTTGAAGATTTATCTGATTTATAATATCTTCTTGCACTTTTCTGAATCTATCACAGTATTTATCATGATTTACAAGAAAATTATTTAAGTTCTTTGCTTTTTTTATTAACTTATCATTTATTAATTCAAGTTCATCATTAATTACAAGCTGAAAAGTATGAGCTGTATATTCTATATGATTATATTCAAGTTATTATATTACTCTTTTCATATTAGAAATATTATCTGTTATACCAACAAAAACTTTTTGTGATATTTCTCATTGCTCAAATAAATTTCAGAGAACATCTTCAATTCAATCACTTGTATAAGAATATGGAAGATTTTCAATTGTCAAAAATGCTTGATATGATATAAAATTTGTAAAGATCCAATATATCATTATACCAATATATGAAGTATGATGTGCTATCCAAAGATTGATAGTAAAAGCAAATCTTATCATTATTTCATCTATTAATATATTTAATTGTGTTTTAGTATAAGAAACTAATTGTTCAATCTTATTTTTTATTATATTATTACAGAGAAATTCAAAATAAGACTCATATTCATGAATCAACTCTTGAAACTTTTTATTTGTAATTACGTGAAATGATTGTATATTATCAATAATTCAAGCAATAAGTTGAAAAAGTATTTTTTCTTGTTTAAAATGTGATAAGAGATTTATAGATTCAAATATTTGTTTAATTATTTTTTGTTTTGAATTATTTGAAATTACTGAATTAATAGGAGAATATATTTGATGCTTTGTTCTTAGATATGTTGCCAAATTTGTTGTTGAAGTTGTAAGATTATAAGAAATTGGACAAGAAATATTTTCTTCATTTTGTGAATTTTTGATAATTAATTGACAAATAACTTTTTTGTAATTTTATTTTCCTTAAAATATGATCGTACCTAACTTTCTTTATTTGTAGATGAATTAATTTTCTTTAAAGAGGTATTTAATGAATTTGATGCTTGATTATTAGAAGTTGAAGTATTTGATAAATCTGATACTTGATTATTAGAAATGAAAATGCGTGATGATATTAATACTTCATTATTAGAAGTGGGTGAGCGAGATAAATTTGGATAAGAATCTACAAGAATAAGTTCATTAATTGACTGTTGTGTTTCATTAGTTGATTGTCATGTTCATTGTGCTATTTCTCCATCATAATTAATAAAAGTGGTTTTGGATTTTTGATTCATTAAAAAAACGCGAAAAGAATATAAAACGCGAAAAAAAGATGAACGTATAAAGGATTTTACATGTATATTGTAATACATATACATGAACTAAACTATATATAACTATATAACATGTTAATTTGAACTGTAAATAGTATTCTATAATAATAATAATAATTTTCCTAATTTAGAAATTTTTCAGTGATCGACTTGCGCCGCATCAAAGAAATTAGCTCGACTGAATCAGCTAGCCGGCTATGCGCCAGCGCATCCTAGTCAGCTTGAAACACTATCCTCACTCTGTGAGTCATCTTTAGACGCACTATCATCCTCACTCCGTGAGTCATCAAAGAAATTCACCTTACCGTCAAATGCTTCGTTAAAAATTCTTTCATCTTCCGAATTATCAAAGATATTTTCAGTTAGAAGCTGGGCCACGCCATTTTCATCTTCGTTGTTACTGGAGGAATCAACAGATGCGATAGCATCCTTACTTTGTGGGTCGCCATCAGAGAAACAATCTGGATCATAGGGCCAGAAATCTTCATCAGGCACGTTAGTGCCCTCACTCTGTGAGTCTTTAGATACGTTAACATTCTCACGAGATGAGTCATCGGATGCACTTACCTTAGTCTCCGGTAAAGAATTTCTTTCTCATTTATCATATTTTTTGAATTAGAGGTATGAGATGATTCAGTAGGTACACTTACCTCAATATTTGATACGTCTTTTGAGCTAAATGGTTTGGTAGTGTGCGCGTGATAATTTGTCACGCCGATCATTTCTGTTGATGACTTGGGAAAATCGTTTATGATGTTTCGAATTTGAGTATCCTTTAGACTTGAAATAGCACTTGCGCTATAAGTTATTTGACTAATTTTATCAATTCCTACTCCTTCGTAGAACATATATACTCTTTTTGCTCTGGAAGTTATTTTACGCAAGTTTACATCGGTAATATCAGGAAGAAGCGATTTGATTTCATTATAAACTATTGTTCTTGCTGATTGGTCATCAATATTATTTGCGGACTTAACATCACTGACTCGATTCTCGTATGCTTTATAATAACAATACCAGCATAAGCTTTCCTTTTGCCGAACCTTCATTGCCACCCTAAATAAATCAACTATATTTCGTGATGTAACTTTACTAGATCCCGTTAAAATTATTTCTAAAGGAAAATCAGGAATCTGGATATCAAATACTTTATTAGGCTTATTATTATCTTTATTGCAAACAGATAGCTCGTGTCTCAAACCCTGTTCTACTTTTTGATTATAAGGAATTTTCAGATTTGATTTCTCTGGAAGAGGCGAAGTTTCGAGAATCTGACCGATCTTTTCATTGTGATTAAGAGGTAATTGCTCTTCTTCCTGAGGAGCTTTGTGAAATGAGGATGCTTTCACATCTGGAAGTACTTCTTGATCTTGAAGCTTTTTTTCTCGATTTTTTTCTCTTATTTCGTTACTAACATTTTCTTTATGTACCCGATCCAGAAAATTATCAATTCCTTTATCATCTAATGATTTAGGGTTTGCACATATAGTTGATACAGAGCAATTACGGGATAATGAAACTTTCGTTTCTTGAGTCAAAGACCCCAATATACATCAGAGTTTGAAGTATTATTCGTTATATTGGATGCGGGAGTATCATCACATTGTAAGTCCATCTGTTCAGGGGTATCTTTAGAATTTTCCATTTTGGTAGAGGCGGTATCAACCGAAGATTGATCGATTTCCTTGGTATCATCATCTGATTTAACATTAGAGTTATTTTAAGATTGGCATTGTTCTAATTTCGCGACTCTAACAACGGTATCTTTATCATTCTGTTCTAGTTTAGTGATAAGGTTGGTATTTTCTTTATCACTCTGTTGTAGTTTAGCAATAAGGTAACTCTTTTCTTTATCTCTTTGCTCTAGATTCGTAAATCTAACCTCAATTCCTTCTTTATCTTGTTTTAGTTTTATATTTTCGGCCTTAATATTAGCATTCTCTTTTCTAAGTTTATCGATTTCGGCTATAAGCATAGAATTCAATTCCTTCAATGAGTCAATTGTGGATTGTGCGCTTGCCTACCTTGATACTAATAATTTCTCAGAAAATTGTACGAAAAATAGTCCTTAGTATGCATGCCCAGAAACCGACTCATTGGTCCAACCAAAATATTCATACCTTTATTGTGTGCCGAAATAAAAATTGAATTCTGGCAGATTTCATATTCCTCTTCATTTCTACTCCGAAATTCTGTCTTCACGGGACTTATAATAAAATAATAAAGCAAGATTAATAAAAGTTACCCAAGTTCTTGACTTCAAAAATTAAAGGTCCCATCAGCAATCCGGCTCCTTTGTTAATGAGGTCTAAGAATTAAGCCATAGAGTTTCTTGTAAGTCCATTGCCTGGAGCGTTCCCGTGTAAGACCTGCAAAACCCACCGTAAATTACCACTCTGAATCCTTTAACAGATCATAAATCCAACAGATCCAGGAGATGTTACGTGGC